TATTAATCTAATCATTGGTCCATATATATATATATCGTTATCTCCTTGACTAAAAACTTATTTCGATGTAACTGTGACAAAATCTACCATTTTTGTTTGGCTGAGAGTTGTATAGGAATCATATCAAAATGATCGCCAGTTAAATTACTACATATTGTAAACTCTAAGCTTTATACAAACGTTTTCTAATATCCATGGTTACGAATGGCTTTGGACAAGCGAAGCCGATAGGTCTTGGTGATGGCCAAATTACCTCGAATCTTATGAACCTTCCTATAGAATCATAAAGACATGAAACAGAAACCACACAGCTTTAGCGATAACAACAGCTAAAATGGATATCATTCGTAACTCGGATAGAATATAATGGCATAACCAAGGTGTAGATGCTTCACACTGCTTCAAAGAATGGTTATGAAGGAAACTTCCATCAATACTGGAAAGAAGTTTAGCAGTGGCTATCAGCTGTATACAACACTTTCTAATATCAGATTGGCTTCTTCAAGAGCTCTCTACTTCGAACCTCGTGGATTGTTGCTATAGAATCACAAAGAACAGTACCAAATAACAGAAGCAATATAACTTGAGGACTTCCAGGAGCAGCAACAACTAAAATGGGCATCACAAGTAACTTGAAGAGAATACAATGACATAATCAAGATATTGACATTTTACCCTCTTTTGGGCATTAGGAAGAAACCCCCTTTGATAGACCATCATTATTTAAAGCTTATGAACGTATGCTACACAATCACAAAGATCTGTACCAATTAACAGAAAAAACATCACCTGAAGACTTTCAACAGTAGCAACATCTAAAATGGATAGCGCATGTAACACGAAAATAATACAATGACGTAATCAAGATGTTGGTGTTCCACAGTATTTCCAAAGAAGTTTAGGAATAAAACCCCAATAATGGAATGAGCGATAGCAGCTACTTGATTTGAGAAACTTATTTTCCTGAAAAATTGTTTTAAGAGAAAGATTTTGTAAATTCCAAATGACAATAGTACTGGGTATTTGGTTAATTAATACCGAATAATTTCTTATAAGGAAACAGATGAATTTTGGTAGAATTTGAGATCATTTGCTCGAGAATTCGCTGTGTTATTTTGGTAGTAATTAACCGACTAAATATTGGAACTCTAAACAGTCTAAAATGTTAACCATAAACGAAAGATCAGGAAATGGCAGTTTTAACCTTTTCATTAATTCCAATTATCCCCCAGTGATCTATCTATCTATCTATCTATCTATCTATATATATATATATATATATATATATATATATATTAAGTGTGTGTGTGTATGTGTGTGTGTGTTAAATGAGATTATTGGCGAAATGACTTCGCTAACAAAACTTAATGAGACATGAACTTACTATAAATTCCTTAAATACTACGATACTTATATTTGAGTTATTTCATATGTGAGTTGTTGTGGGTACCTTGAGGTGTTGTAATGGTTAACAAGCTTCTCGATAGAACAGTTACGACTGAGTAGTGAGTTCGATCCTCACTGGGTGCCCCCATACTTTGTGCCACATCTAAGCTACGCTTGAAAACTCACTATTTAAGGTGAAATTTGGGCACCTCGAGGTGGTGTAATGGTTAGCAAGCTTGTCTCGCTAGAACAATTACGACTGAGTAGTGAGTTCGGTCCTCGCTGGGTGCCCCCATACTTTAGGCCTTGTGCCACATCTAAGCTACACTTGGAAAATCACTATATGAGTTGTTGTCAGGGAGAATCGACGAGCAAAGTACTTTCGACAATTTTAAATTGTCATCTTCAGGGTGTAATTTTTTTCCATATACAGGCAAAACACTAAGACGAAATAAGTGTAGTATAGACCGAAAGACGTTTTAAAATATGCTATTTATTGAGAGCTATTTTGGAGCGTGAGAAAAATCAAAGAATTGATAGTAAGTTAATGTCCCATTAACTCTTGTCAACGAAGTAATTTCGTCATTAATCCCATTAACAATGCTATTTAATTCTTTCTCTAAATTTATCTTCTAGATATTTTCATGATATAATATAAAAGCTGCACACACTAATATATATATATATATATATATATATATATATAAAGCTCAAAGAGTAGTGACAAATGGTGCTGTGGATGACAGGGTGAATTGGATATCCCACAGTAAATTCGGCCTTGTGCCACATCTGGCCGCGTGGAGCGGTTGGTAGATATCCTACATTCGGAGATTCGTCCCCAGCTGTGCCTGCCAAACTCTTTGCCTCCGGGCAGAGAGGATCCCCAGACGAGGCTATATCGACGGGCAGATTCTCGTCTCAGGAAACAGCTACCCGACCCCGTTTTATATGAGGTCGACGGGGAAATTTGGCCGAGCCTACGGTCTCGGATACCCCACATTGAATTCGGCCTTCGGCCACATCTGACCGAGTGGGGCGTTTGGTAGATATCGTGCAATTGGAGATTCATTGTGGAATTTACTTGACTCACTTCTAGCAGTTGACTACTTCTACA